GTGTGTGTGTGTGTGTGTGTGTGTGTGTGTGTGCCAAGATCTCTTCCACGCTGGTATTCTTGTGTCTGATGCCAAAAATAAGTTACAATGGCTGGGTGAGGGTGTGTGTGTGTGTGTGTGTCCTTATTGACTATCTCTGAGCTGCACCGCCCTCCATCCTTAAAATGATGTGGTTAGCCTTGTGAATCTATCTCTGAGCTGCACCGCCCTCCATCCTTAAAATGATGTGGTTAGCCTTGTGAATCTAATCCTTCCTAAATCTGAAAGTCTATGAAACATATTAATAAAATTAAAAGTGCCGCTCAAATAGAGACATCCTATCATCGATATGCATGTGCGTATGTATATATAAATATGTGCATGTGTGTGTGAGTGTCCCCTCCCAGAGGACACTTGACAATGTCTCGAGATGTTCAGAGGCATGCTGGTGGTGGTGTGGTTAGGCAGTTGACTGCTCACCGGAAAGTTGACAGGTTTAACTCCACCAGCGGCTCCGCAAGTGAAAGGTGTGTCTGTTTGGTTCTGTGATGATTACAACCATGACAACCGCGTGGGCAGTGCGAGCCTGTCCGTTTCAACAGCTCGTGTCTGTCAAGTCAATGGCAACTCAGAGCGTCTCTGTAGGACAGAGTAGAACTGCCCCTGAGTTTCGGAGACTGTACATTTTTATTGGAGTAGGAAGCCTCATCTTTCTTCACTTGAGCACCTTGTGGTTTTGAACTGCTGGCCTTGAAGTTAATGGCACAAAACATGACTATGCTAGCAGGTTTTCCTGATAGCACTACTATGAATCATGATTTACTTAATGGCAGTGGGTTGGGTTGGGTTTTAGGGACACTTTCATGTCAATCCTGGGGCGGTGGATGAGGTGTTGATAGCATAGAATGGTAGGGTCCGGGGATGTTGCTGAGCATACAACAATGCAGAAGACAGTGCTCCACTGTGAATAATTATATGGCCCCAAATGTGCCTAGTGCTAAGATTGAGATGCCCTGGATTTTTGTGTGCATGCATGTGCATGCACACGTGCAGAAACCCTGCATACACTCTCTCTCATTGTGTCAGGGTCTTCCTTGTAGATAATGTGCTCTAACCAGATCAACAAGACATTGTTTGCTGAGCCATCTGTTGGAACATGGAAAAAAGCCTCGCTGTTTGGAACCCGACAGCCCATCCAGGCTTGTCTTAACGAGGCTTCACTCTGGTTTGGTGCCGATTCTCTGTGCTCAACAGGTTGCATCGGAGTCTGTGAGTTAGTGAATTGTGCCAGCCTGGCTGATAATCACATGTGGGGCTAATTGAAAGGCGGAGGGATAAATGGGTGGTGAGCCTCGCCTTTCTAGTTCTCTGGTCTCTTGCTTTGTGATGGTCGCACCAGGGTGCAGCTGCCTTAGCAGTTCCCTGCTTCAGCTTGCAAGATTGACTTCCTACAAGACATCCCCAAGGAGAAGCCACATGGACCTATCCCGATGCAGCCCTGGGTGCTGGAGCAGCCGTGTGGAGACCCCTGCTAGTGCTGAGATGCTTATTCGTTCACTGACTCAGCTTTCCTCCTGCAGTCGGCATCATTGCCTCTGTTTTGTGAGGTAGAGGACTTTGTGGACTGGTGTTGGGTTAATGGGTTAATGTTGGACTTGTGGGCTTGGGCAGCATTGGGTTGGAATGTTTTCGTGATGCACATTTTCTTTACGTAAAACTCTCTTATCATGAGTTGCTGTGCATTTGTTTCTCCAAAGTACCCAGACTAATACAGTCTGGTTCAGAGAAATGAAGCCAGTGAGTCTCTGGGAGTCCTTCCCCAAGTTGCCTGGTGGTCCCCCAGACTTGGAGAAGGGAATAAGAATAACATATAGGGAATAACCCTATATGTGCCAAATGTTGTCCCAGCGACATTCATACTGCGAAGCCGGTTAAATTATGATCATCTTCATCAACTCTTAAAAACAACCTTTGGCTAATTACGATATGAGCTCGTAGAGACCTGGGATTTCAGAGTTGGGAAGGGCCTTAGCTAGGATGCCGTCTCATCAGATTAGGAGGGAAAGCATGAAGCTGACAGAGGTTACGTCCCACAGTAAGCACATGGTCAGACACAAAAGCATGTGTAGCTAACGGTTCTCTCTGCCGCATACTGCAGAAGGGAAAAAAAAAAAACGTTTCAAGAACCACCAACTACAATGGAGATGTCAGGCCTCTGGATTTCACGCTATTCCTATACTTAAAATATACGTTTGCTACATCGCCCAGGTTTATCATACAATACATCCTTAGTCACATCACTGGAGAGAAGTACTCAGTGTGCCTGATTCAATATTATCTTGGTAAGATGGTATCTAATTCAACAGGAGGAAAAAAATCCCCTGATAAAGCTGGTGGCTGCCAGCTCCCCAACCAGTGTGTCTATTGTGGCACCTGAGCTGAGCTATAAGCCGAAGTGTTTAGTCTTCTTTTATCGAGCCCTCAGTGAGGAATTGCCTTGATGCTCCTCTCATCTTTTATCACCTCAGGGTCCCAACTGCTTGAACACATCTGCCGATTCCCAACCATTCGCCTACACAGAGGAGCCCAGGCAATTTTGAAAGCTAGAATGAGCGGCATGAAGGCCTCTAGAAATCTGTTTGCCCTTCTCATCCCCCGTTTTCACAGCAACGGCCTCTGTATGCCCATTCCCTAAAAGGACGCCGGGTGCCGCCTCCCCTCCGTTGGCTAGCACCCAGCAGGTGGGCTTCTCGAAGAAGGGGGACTCGTTTCAACAGAGCTTCATGATAGCAGAGCCCAGAGGCTCCACGGCCTGACCAACAGCCCACGGTGGGGCGTGGAGTCTGCGTGGCCAGGAGGAAGCCATTGGCCTCTGTGAACCTGTTTTTCTCGCTGTAACGCGGAAATAACAGCACTACGTCTTTGGCAGTAGCTAAAGAATGACTTCAGTGCTGAGCACAGAAGCCGGCGCATCAATACTTCATTAAGACTTTCGCAGGCTTCTCTCGCATTTCCAACTCCCGGCTTCCTCGTCTCTAGGTAGTATTCGCTCTTCTCAAATGTACAAACCGGAACTAGTTGGTCCTCCCCAAGCTGAGTATTTTGAGAGCCCCTGGGGGTAATTCCAGTCCCATGGCTCGATCTGATTTCGATTCTTTCACCCCAGTGAGGAAATGCCAGGACATCAAAGGACAGGAGCAGATCCAAAGGGTCCCACTTGCCCTTCTAGTTTCTCCTCAAGGCGATGGCCAAGTGACATTTCTTTAATCCCCGTATTACACGCTGGCCACTTGGACATCTTCAGTGCTCCTGGGCTGCTGCCCTTCAGAGGTCAGGGAGGCAGATCAAAGGAGGAGGCAGGACCGAGCTCGGCCTGCCATTGATGCACTGCTGTCCACCTGCTCCAGCAACTCAAAAGATAGTAGTCATGGGCAGGAAGGGCCAAGGGTATTGGAGATGCATACATTTAACCACAGTCTTCCTAGACAGAATCCCATTTTCCCATTTCAAGTTCTTCAGCTGTTGCTATCTCCTTCCTTGACGTTGAGTGAGCCCCAGTCCACCGTGATCCAATGCACCGCGGGATCAGCTCCTCATGATGCATAGGGCGTTGGCTGCCTGATGTTTCTAGTCTAGAAGCCCCACTGTCTAGCAAGAGAGCAACACAAGCCACACGCAAGGTGGTGGCTGCACATGAAGTCTTGGCCAGAAATCCAGTCCACTTCTCCTGCACGGAAGATCAGAAGCTACCAGGGAACCACCGCTGCCACATGAGTCCTTCCGCCGAGGAACACCATTCTTCCTAAGAGGATAGA